CTGCTTATTCGATGGTTCGGATTCTGGGGCTAAGAAGATCTACTGGTGGACTCGTGAGGTCACCCCGTGGGCTTCCACTTCGACGCTGTCTTGCAGCGAGGTCATCCTCGCGGACCCGCAGTCTCCCCTGGACAGTGAAGTTGCTAGATTCAGCGGGCTCTGGAAGGCCACCAAGGAGCCCCCTTCCCACGAGCCGATTGATGTCCAGGAACCGCTGCCTAACGAACCTCCCGACGAGTTGAGAGCCGTGGCCAAGACATGTTCTTCCCGCACGGGCCGATGAGTCACTAGATCGCCAATGTCGTTGCGCGCGTCGTTGCCAGTGTGGATGGATTCTACATAAGGCAATGTGCCGACATGTCCGACGGAGCTCTGGTCGTCCTCATACCAATGCTCAGCATTCGGGAGCAATTGTTGCGTCCCCCAATCGAATGGGACGGATGATGGTTTCGCGCGTGTCGGAACCAGTTGGGGGGGGGAGGCCTACCGGGCCGTTCTCCTCCCCGGTTCAGTCTTTGGGCCGCTTGTGGAGAGATTGGGCTACGGAATGGACGAACACTCACCGCATGCCTGATCCAGTTGGGGGGGGCTTTCTCTGGGGCGGCCGACGTCGTCGGGAGGCGCGCTGCCTAAGCTGAGGTTCCGACCTCGTCGAGTAAGGGGGTGGCGTGTTCTCTGTTGTGGGACCTGTTGAAGTTCTACGAGACTATGCAGCTCATATTCTTGAAGCAGCGTTGCGGCAGGCGTTCCTTCCCTAGGCAGGTGTCTCGAGTTTGTATGGCGGCCTGCCGAGGTCAGAGGTTTATGAGCAACACGGGTCTGGTCAAGGGCCCGCTGTTTGTTGTCAGCGGTGTTGTAGTTGGTGGTTCGGTGGTTACATCGTTTTTGAGAGCCTACACCACCCCGTCCAAGGACATGTTGCCCCAGTGTGTTCAGAAGTCTTTCAGCATGCACCTCGATGGTTACGGGTTTCAGGCGACAGGGCCTTCGCATTCTTCGCACGTCACCGAGTCATGGATGGAGCATCCCATTGCACTCTGTTTTCTCCGTAGGCACGGAAGCCCTCGCATCAGAGGATATAGTGTCAGTCACGTGCTCCTCCCAAGCGACACGGTCCAAGATCAGGGGTCTTCTCGAGGGCTTGCTGGGCAAGGCGCACGATACGAGCAGCGTTGTGTTTCTTGGGATGGCTGATACGGGGGGAAAACCAAAGAATATAGGAGATGGAGGAATAAAGTTTCGCAAGCGGTATCGGAGGTGAGGGGGTAAGATCGAAGTGGAACGGAGAGCCCCCCTACCGGGAAATCGGTTTCGGTTTCGTGTTCGTGCGTGCCGCGCGTGCGGGCGAGGCAAAGCTGCGTGGGCGGGCGAGAAGAAAGTCTCCTCTGGCTGAGTCGGGGCCGGACCAAATGATTCCTGTCCGGGGGCCGGTGGCGCGCGGTGTCCCGCCGGTGTCCCGCCTCCGGCTGAGGCGCGTCCGGACCAAATGATTCTTGTCCGGGGGCCAGTGGCGCGCGGTGTCCCGCCGGTGTCCCGTCCGTGTCCCGATGATGATGATGATGATGATGATGATGATGATGATGATGATGATGATGATGATGATGATGCTAATGATGATGATGATGATGATGATGATTATGATGATTATGATGATGACGATGATGATGATGATGGTGTCCCGATGATGATGATGATGATGATTGATGATGATAATGGTGATGGTGATGATGGTGTTCCGATGATGATGATGATGATGTTGACGATGTTGATGATGATTGTTATAGTGGGGATGATGATGGTGCCCCGATGAGGTTGATGTTTATGATGGTGATGTTGCTGATGATGATGGTGTCCCGATGATGATGATGATGATAATGGTGATGGTGATGATGATCCTGATGATGTCGATGATGATGAGATGATGATGATGATGATGAAGATGATGATGATGATGGTGCCCCGATGATGATGATGGTGATGAGGTTGATGATGCTGATGATGATGATGGTGTCCCGATGATGATTATGATGATGATGATGATGATGATGATGATGATGGTGATGATGCTGTTGATGATGATGACGATGATGGTGTCATGGTGATGATTCTTATGTTGATGAGGATTATGATGAGTTTGATGATGGTGGCCCGATGATAGTGATGATGATGATGATGCTGATAATGATAATGATGACTGTGTCCCGATAGTGATGATGATGATGAAGATGGTGATGATGATGATGGTGACGATGATGATGGTGTCCCGATGACGATGATGGTGATGATGGTGTTGCTGATGATGCTGGTGATGATGATGGTGTTCCGATGATGATGATGATGATGATGACGTTGATGATGATGTGGTTCATGATGACGGTGGTGTTCCGATGATGATGACGATGATGGTGTCCCAGTGATGATGATGATGACGTTGATGAAGATGATGGTGACAATGATGGTGCCCCGATGATGATGATGATGATGGTGATGAGGTCGATGC